AAGACTGTCAATGTCAGGTTAACCAACTGGCTGACCTCCACACAAGCAGAACTAGCAGCATTACAACTAGCTACCAGTACATTAAAAAACATTGGAGGAGGAATAATATTTTGTGATTCAAAGTCTGCTCTTCAAGCAATCGAAAACGTCTCCTGGAAGATCGACAGCAAGAACCTCATACAACCAATTATAAATGACCTAATTGCTGCACAGAGTAAAGGGTCTCGAATCTCCTTTGTATGGATACCATCACACATGAATATAACCCATCATAATGAGACAGACATTGCAGCCAAATTACCGTGCAACATAGATGAAGTTGAATTAGATCTAGGTATCCCCATCTCTACTGTCAAAACTATATTGGTCCAAACACTCAGGTCTGATAGGAAAGAAATTTCTCCACAAATGACTCCAAACGACCTGAAAGTACTAGTATAAAAAGCTATGATTTGTTCAGATCTGAAACCTGTATCTATGGGAAGCACAAAACGTCCACCAGACTGTGAAACACAGTGGTTGCCAGGATCAGGTTGGGTTACTGTTACCTGTGGCAGGTGGCTACAAGTGACGGATCTCCCAATCCTGAGCACTCCAGGTGCAAACTTTGTGAGCAGGAACTGCGGCATGATCTCGCACACTACATCACCGAGAACCCATTTATTAGACCTTTCAGACCAGTTGGCATGAGGTACCTGGAGCTTTGCAACTACTTTATTCACTCTCGTATTCTTGAAGATATCTTCACGGTGTACCCAAAATTTGCCAGTGCAGGATACTGAACATATGGCCCTGTATGACTAACCATCCTGTGTGATAGGGATTTTTTAGCATCACGTAGCTAGCTTTTTGACACACTGTACTCCCCCTTCATATAGTCTAGGGTAACTGCACAAATGCAGATGTACCTAATGTACATCTGCCCATCTGTATATCTTAATAAAAAAAATCCCTGAATGAGTTTGATGTTATCAGTTCTTATTTAATTGCGTTTAAGGTCTTGCATAATCCTAGCACGTCAAACTTTCTTTCTTGATAAACTATTGCTACTGAAACTGTCCATGATACGTCGAACTCGCAATCCACACACCCATGCAAACCTGAGTTTGCTGGCCTAGATTTATTTCACGATTTTCTCCACAAGGGAGATGATGCTTTGTTTAGATGGCATCCTCAGCCTAAATTCCTTATTCTAATACTTCACAAGATAATGTGATAATTCCACCACCTAGTGAGCGGTGTGGAAGTAAGAGCAACACAGGAATAGAGTGCGACAGACATAGCATCCAAGGATAAAAAATTTCATAAACTAGACCATAATTTCCTGAACAGAAAATCTTTGAATAGTCAAGTAACCGGACTACGCAAGAAAGAATGACCCAACAGGAATATATCAAGATTTTGAGAGATTCTAAATGAAAGCCTACATTAAATATTCTAGATTGAGTCTGAGTATCTTCTGATAGACGACTGAACAATTTAGTGAGAGACTGTGTTATAGGAATGTTTCAAAATAACGTGTAATGAAGAAATAAAGTTATCGAACAATTTCAGAGATATGGAATAGGAGAAAGCCTCATAACGGTATGAAAAAAGCACCTGAGACATTCTGAAACGATAATCTACAATGACTCACTAAAACATCTAATGACTAAACATCTACAATCACTAAAATATAAAACATCTAATTAATTATGTTCTTGTTTTTCATAATTATTAATTAAGACAATATTAATTATACTGAATTAATGTAAGCTGAAAGTATCTGGAAGCGTGTTGAAGGAGGTGAAACAGTATCCATCACACATGATGCATACAACTATGCAGAAATGTACGTATGAGGGAATGAAACGTAGGTCAGTAACAAGGTGTTCTTCGGTAATGCATATATGACCCATACTGTTCCTCAGTATGGGTCATATATATATATATATATATATATATATATATATATATATATATATATATATATATATAACTTTAGAACACTTTCCCACCAGGAGACTCGAACCCTAGCCAGCACAGAAGCCTTCCAGCAACTGGCATAACAGGTACGCCTTAACCCGCTCCACCACCCGCTCAGTCCCTTAAAAGAGATGGTAATTTCGGAGTATTTAAACACCCCAAAGATCAACACCTCCCAAGAGCACCAGAGCAAGTGAGGGGTCATTTATACGTTAATTTCATCAAGTCCCTGTTAATATGGGAAGACACAGTGTCTCTGCTTAAGGCACAACTCTCCTAAACACGAGATTTAAGTATACAACTTTAGAACACTTTCCCACCAGGAGACTCGAACCCTAGCCAGCACAGAAGCCTTCCAGCAACTGGCATAACAGGTACGCTGGTGGTGGAGCGGGTTAAGGCGTACCTGTTATGCCAGTTGCTGGAAGGCTTCTGTGCTGGCTAGGGTTCGAGTCTCCTGGTGGGAAAGTGTTCTAAAGTTGTATACTTAACTCTCGTGTTTAGGAGAGTTGTGCCTTAAGCAGAGACACTGTGTCTTCCCATATTAACAGGGACTTGATGAAATTAACGTATAAATGACCCCTCACTTGCTCTGGTGCTCTTGGGAGGTGTTGATCTTTGGGGTATTTAAATACTCCGAAATTACCATCTCTTTTAAGGGTCTGAGCGGGTGGTGGAGCGGGTTAAGGCGTACCTGTTATGCCAGTTGCTGGAAGGCTTCTGTGCTGGCTAGGGTTCGAGTCTCCTGGTGGGAAAGTGTTCTAAAGTTGTATACTTAACTCTCGTGTTTAGGAGAGTTGTGCCATATATATATATATATATATATATATATATATATATATATATATATATATATATATATATATATATATATATATATGTCGTACCTAGTAGCCAGAACGCACTTCTGAGCCTACTATGCAAGGCCCGGTTTGCCTAATAAGCCAAGTTTTCATGAATTAATTGTTTTTCGGCTACCTAACCTACCTTACCAAACCTAACCTAACTTTTTCGGCTTATCATTTCATAAGAAAAAAATTCGAGAAAATATATTAATTCAGGAAAACTTGGCTTATTAGGCAAATCGGGCTTTGCATAGCAGGCCGAGTACGACGTTCTGGCTACTAGGTACAACATATATATATATATATATATATATATATATATATATATATATATATATATATATATATATATATATATATATATATATATATATATATATATATATATATATATATATATATATATATATATATATATATACATATATATATATATTATTAAATATGACCGAAAAAGTAAGATTAATAATTCTAACACGAATTTTCTCGATCTTTCTTATGTTACTTTTCACTGATGTCAGACATCTGCAGGAGCTGAAGGAGGCATTTGAGCAGAATTCTCTGTTGCGTTTCACTTACGAGATGGAGAAGGATGGGAAGCTGCCCTTTCTAGATGTAACAGTCATGGAAAGGAGCGGAGGTTCCCACACTGCAGTCTACACTAAGGAAATGAACATAGGAATGTGCCTAAATGCCAACAGTGACTGCCCAGACAGGTACAAGAGGAGTGTTGTTAACGCATATGTCGACCGTGCTCTCAGCCACAGCTCAGAATGGAAGCAAGTCGACGAAGAACTCTGTAGGGTAAGGCAGGTTCTAGTCAACAACTGCTCCTCCAATGGTTTCGTTGAAGACATCATAAGAAGGAAAGTGAAACGCCATTCAACCTCTGAAGAGACAACTAACACAACACCTATACCCCCTATTAGACTATTTTACAGGAACTTCTTTTCCATAGCTCATAAAACGGAGGAAAGGGTCCTGAAAGATAATGTTAATAGAAACGTTATCCCTACAGACAAAAACCAGAAGATACCACTGACGATTTACTAAAAAATAAAAAAACGGCCAGCCTACTCATGAGAAACTCTCCAGACACAAAGCAGAACGCTTTAAAAGAGACCAACGTCGTCTATGCCTTCAAATGCCCTCTTGGGGACTGTAAGCCTCAAAAAACTCCTTATATAGGCAAGACAACAACATCTCTTTCCAGGCGTTTAACGATGCATAAGCAACAGGGCTCCATTAAGGAACATATAATCTCTTCCCACAACCAAACCATCACCAGAGAAATCCTAGTAAACAACACAGAAATCATCGATAGATACAGCGATAGCAGGCGGCTTGACGTCTGCGATGCACTACACATCAAGAAGTCAACACCAGCAATCAACAGCCAATTAATGCACAACTATATTCTACCCACTTCAAGACTCCGCTCCAATATAGAAGCATCAAGAAATATGGGCCAATAGGCCCTCTGCAATTACTTCCATTCAATACCCATTGTGTCGTGTTCTGTCTTGTGGTGAAAGTTTGTTTTCACCTCATCCGAAACTGTTGTAACATATCACCTCACCCAAATGCAGGTATAAAAAATCAAAGATGGTTAAGCTCTATTCAGTTATATATATATATATATATATATATATATATATATATATATATATATATATATATATATATATATATATATATATATATATATATATATTCGAATTCATTTATAGATCATATAGCTTTATTAAAAAATTATCTATGATATTTTATAATTTCATTTGCAAAGAAAACAGTAATATGAAACTGATGGAATATATGCAAGATAACGTACTGTTGGTGACCCAGAAGGGAAAGAATTGCAACTTGCAAGTGTCAATGAGAACGGGAGGAGATGGATTGATAGATGGTTCGATAGAAGGATAGATGAATGACCCAGAATAAAATGGATAGTTATTGGTAGTCTCAATTGCTGGAAACTAGCCACAAACGAATAACAGAAATGTCTTAGTTAAGTTCGTCAAGACAGTGAGGACCTTCTCCTGAGTGATGGGCAAGTGTCTGAAGACATTCGCAGCTTCAAGAGAAGGAATAATAAGAAGCAGTAAGTGACCGAGGGTTGGAAGGCAGGGACCAAGAGCTGACACCTGTTCTGGTGAAACACAGTTACACTACTGACCAAGTGATACTTACTCTAACAATAATCCATTTTTATTCTCAAAGTAGTTGTCTGCCGTCTCGTCTTTGATCTTCTGTAAGGAACCGAAGCCTTGTCTTAAGGGGTTGTTCATGGTGGCGCCTATCAGAGCCTCAGCGTCCTCTGGTCGAACCACAACCACCATCGGCGGATTAAATGGCAACGATAATTGAAAAATTGGGCCATATTTCTGAGCCATCTTTTGCATGAACAGGTGAATGTACTTGGGAGTGAAGGCTGTGGAATAGATATATATTAATTCACTACTTTAAGTTCCTATTTCAAATGAAAGAGAACTACTATGTAAATTTACACTCATAAATAGTTCAGTGGTAAGCTGCCTCATCAGAGAGTTGTGGAAGTCAGAGATTCAAAATAAAATGGATTTGAGGGATATGTTTTAGTATAGAAATTGATGAAAAGAAAACATAAAATATGTAAGCATCACACTTGGTCTGGCCACAGTGACGTACATCTGTCCAAGAGCACGGAAGGAAGAACACCGATCACAGGATAAGCTCTTGGTCCCGGCACTTGTGAGACTGGTCTTGCAACTGGCGCCTTCTGTGCTGCTGCTGCTGCTGCTGTTGCTTGGCAAGGTATCGCTGTAATTGCGAGGGCACGGGACAGGGCAGGTGGCAGGCGCCCCACGGCCCTCACCAGCCCGCACTTCAACACCCCTGACATCACCTGTGTAGATAAAACCAGCTAATTGTTACAGCAGCAACAGATTATTATTTTTTCCCCTGAAGCATGGGCAGTTAAAGTCAAGTTAATTTTACATTATATGCTGAACTAAATATGCAGTGTACAAGGGAACAATGCTCAGCTATATATGAATGTGTGGTACAAACCATTACTGGTGTGGGCGTTATGCTGGACCCGTCAACCAGGATCGGACAATGATCACTATGACTCCCTCTTCCCAGAACAGAAACCCACAGCGTTTCTGTACTGGAAAGCAAGTATTCTGTGATCAATATATGCATTGATCACAAACGAAAAAACAAACAAAATAAATAGCTTGATATTCAATGTGGATCTGAATCACTTTAAATGAGACCTGATTGGCAGGTCTTTAGACACAGACATTGGTGATAACATTTATGATATCTGAAATGCAATAATATAACAATATGAATTACTGTTCCATAGGTAGAATATAAACTCAGTGGGTCAAGTTCCGGTGGCTGAGATGTGTCAGGCCTTCACCACATCATCCCAGCCAATCCGTCTACAGACGAGGATGATCCTGGGCCACAGTCTTCCTGGGAATCACGGCCCTAACTATTCCTGGTTCGGCCTCCTCATAAGCTTCAAAATTATCGAAACAAGCCCAGGTAAGATCAGGCCAATAGACAGGAAGTCCGTCACCGCTCGTCCTCGGAGGTGAATTGCCAAGTTCACCGCCTATCAGCGTTTTCTTGGTGTGACGTCACTCTTGCACGACGCTAATTGGTCCACACCGTCTTCTCTTGGACATTTTAGATCCGCAAGCACCTTGCATTTCCTGGGCATTTCCCCACCTTGTCCAAGAGGAGGAACATCGAGTTCTGACTCTTTCTCACAATATATCCTCTTTAACTCCCAAGAGTCTCATTATTCTTTATCTCACTGGTTTACTTTTATCTATCAATCATATCCTATTAAGTACAGATGCTCAAGTATGGAGGGAACGTCCCGGAACAACTATCACCTTAAGTAAGCCTAGGCTATGCCCACTTATAATCATGACAATAAATATAAGTATTATGAGGAAGTACAGACAGTAGGGCAATGAACCCGTGAGGGACAGGTACCTAACCCCTTCACTAGTGGTCACAGCTGCTAGACTGTGCAATGCAGCACCATATTGTAGGAACTAGACTTGATTGTTAAGATGTGTTCTTGATCCTTGTTGAATGACATACCATGATGCCAGCTCTTTAGGGATGATGCACCCGATCGTCAAGCTAAACACGTTGTGAAATTTTGCCTGACTACAGGTGCACAAATCAGACACCTTCCCGCTTAGACCTCTACCTAGAGTTCCCTCCACCCGGTAAGCCTTCACTCCACACATCCTCCCCTTCAAACCGACTTTCCTTCGGGAGTCCGTCCACCTTGTCGGAAATTCCAACACGAAATTACTAACCCCTAACATACCAAGCCAAAACGGTTATGTTAGGACATACTAATATTACTAATCCACTAATAATCATGAGATAATCATTATAGGAAACATATAGTATAGTGGCTTTTCAGAGAAAATGGGATATTGCCAAGTAAGGAAAACCACTATTTATGCACAATACCTCTATAATGAAAACAAAACCTTCAGTCTAAGGGTTAAACAGGATAAAAAATTACTCATTAGAACTAGATTTAAGTATCAATCAAATCCAAGATCAACCTCCCTAAGTCGGTAATGACAAATCCACATCGAGTCGAGGAGGGAGACGCCAAGCGAGACGCCATTGTGCGCAGGGCATTCCAGACGCTCCCACGTACCGCCTCTCATCAAGAATCAGTACGTGCTCGCAGCATCCATACTTCTCGCGAATTTCGTAATATAGGAACAATATTAGTCCGCTAAACCTTAGATTTTGCTACTTTGGGAAGTATTGTTCCCGGTCTACTTGTATAATATATTACTTTTTCTTGGCCAAGTGTATTATATATTCGTAGCCCGGGTATGATGCTAGAGAACTACTCGGAACGGAACGGGTAAGCTCTTGTTCCATAATATAGATTTCTTGCCGTATATATATATATTTATATATATATAAATATATATATATATAAATCTATATATATATATATATATATATATATATATATATATATATATATATATATATATATATATATAAATATATATATATATATATATAAATATATATATATATATATATAACTATATAACTATATATATATATATATAACTATATAACTATATATATATATATATATATATATATATATATATATATATATACATATATATATAAATAATATATATATATATATATATATATATATATATATATATATATATATATGTATATATATATATATATATATATATATTAATATACAACTTTAGAACACTTTCCCACCAGGAGACTCGAACCCTAGCCAGCACAGAAGCCTTCCAGCAACTGGCATAACAGGTACGCCTTAACCCGCTCCACCACCTGCTCAGACCCTTAAAAGAGATGGTAATTTCGGAGTATTTAAATACACCAAAGATCACCACCTCCCAAGAGCACTAGAGCAAGTGAGGGGTCATTTATACGTTTATTTCATCAAGTCCCTGTTAATATGGGAAGACACAGTGTCTATGCTTAAGGCACAACTCTCCTAAACACGAGAGTGAAGTATACAACTTTAGAACACTTTCCCACCAGGAGACTCGAACCCTAGCCAGCACAGAAGCCTTCCAGCAACTGGCATAACAGGTACGCCTTAACCCGCTCCACCACCTGCTCAGACCCTTAAAAGAGATGGTAATTTCGGAGTATTTAAATACACCAAAGATCACCACCTCCCAAGAGCACTAGAGCAAGTGAGGGGTCATTTATACGTTTATTTCATCAAGTCCCTGTTAATATGGGAAGACACAGTGTCTATGCTTAAGGCACAACTCTCCTAAACACGAGAGTGAAGTATACAACTTTAGAACACTTTCCCACCAGGAGACTCGAACCCTAGCCAGCACAGAAGCCTTCCAGCAACTGGCATAACAGGTACGCCTTAACCCGCTCCACCACCTGCTCAGACCCTTAAAAGAGATGGTAATTTCGGAGTATTTAAATACACCAAAGATCACCACCTCCCAAGAGCACTAGAGCAAGTGAGGGGTCATTTATACGTTTATTTCATCAAGTCCCTGTTAATATGGGAAGACACAGTGTCTATGCTTAAGGCACAACTCTCCTAAACACGAGAGTGAAGTATACAACTTTAGAACACTTTCCCACCAGGAGACTCGAACCCTAGCCAGCACAGAAGCCTTCCAGCAACTGGCATAACAGGTACGCCTTAACCCGCTCCACCACCTGCTCAGACCCTTAAAAGAGATGGTAATTTCGGAGTATTTAAATACTCCAAAGATCACCACCTCCCAAGAGCACTAGAGCAAGTGAGGGGTCATTTATACGTTTATTTCATCAAGTCCCTGTTAATATGGGAAGACACAGTGTCTATGCTTAAGGCACAACTCTCCTAAACACGAGAGTGAAGTATACAACTTTAGAACACTTTCCCACCAAGAGACTCGAACCCTAGCCAGCACTCTCCGAAAATACTCCGAAAATACCATCTCTTTTAAGGGTGTGAGCAGGTGTTTGAGCGGGTTAAGGCGTACCTGTTATGCCAGTTGCTGGAAGGCTTCTGTGCTGGCTAGGGTTCGAGTCTCCTGGTGGGAAAGTGTTCTAAAGTTGTATACTTCACTCCCGTGTTTAGGAGAGTTGTGCTTTAAGCATAGACACTGTGTCTTCCCATATTAACAGGGACTTGATGAAATAAACGTATAAATGACCCTCACTTGCTCTAGTGCTCTTGGGAGGTGGTGATCTTTGGTGTATTTAAATACTCCGAAATTATCATCTCTTTTAAGGGTCGGAGCAGGTGGTGGAGCGGGTTAAGGCGTACCTGTTATGCCAGTTGCTGGAAGGCTTCTGTGCTGGCTAGGGTTCGAGTCTCCTGGTGGGAAAGTGTTCTAAAGTTGTATACTTCACTCTCGTGTTTAGGAGAGTTGTTCCTTAAGCATAGACACTGTGTCTTCCCATATTAACAGGGACTTGATGAAATAAACGTATAAATGACCCCTCACTTGCTCTAGTGCTCTTGGGAGGTGGTGATCTTTGGTGTATTTAAATACTCCGAAATTACCATCTCTTTTAGGGTCTGAGCAGGTGGTGGAGCGGGTTAAGGCGTACCTGTTATGCCAGTTGCTGGAAGGCTTCTGTGCTGGCTAGGGTTCGAGTCTCCTGGTGGGAAAGTGTTCTAAAGTTGTATACTTCACTCTCGTGTTTAGGAGAGTTGTGCCATATATATGTATATATATATATATATATATATATATATATATATATATATATATATATATATATATATATATATATATATATATATATATATATATATATATATATATATATATATATATATATATATATATATATATATATGCTGTGTATAGTAGTGGCAGATTATTACTTATTAGTTACCCCCGCAGATGCAATTCTAGTGAGGAAGAAATAACATGGAGTCAGCCTGTGGTAACATAGGCATCCCCGGTCACCATTACAGACCAGTCCAACGAGGTTCATACACGGGATAGAAGGATGTCCAGTGCATATTATTAAGCTGTTTCTAATCGCTAGCTAAGAGATATTTATCTTTAACTACCCAATTTAACACTTGTACTAACATTAATTTAGTAATTTATTTATTATCTACTATTGGTAGTATAGTCTATGTACTTATACCCCCAAACTTGACAGTAGGATAACACCCAGCAGGGTAAACTTTCAGTAAAGTCCACTTTGCAAAATAAACTCCACTATTATATATACAGTCCATTCTTAATTAATAATATTAAATTAAAGTAAACTAATAAGTCAATAATTTAAATTGCGTAAATCAAATAAATTCATGCTGGGAAAATTCCCCACACACCTGCTTCCACCCAACACTACGGCAACCCATCCACCAAGCTCCACCCGTGCATGTGCCACTACACACCTACACGCATTCCCCAATCCCCCCCCCTTTCCCACCTCACCGCCTTCTTGCTCCACATCATGGCACCCCCCTCCCTCCTCCTCCTCCACAGCGTGGCACCCCCTCCCTCCTCCTCCTCCACAGCGTGGCACCCCCTCCCTCCTCCTCCTCCTCTGTAGTGTGGCACCCCTCCCTCCTCCTCCTCCACAGCGTGGCACCCCCTCCCTCCTCCTCCTCTGTAGTGT